AGTAATTTTATATATATAGCCAATATATATATATATATATTTTATTAGGCCTATTATTATTATTTTTTTGATTCCCTACAACCTAGAGTTTTTAAAAACATGGTTTTAAGTAAAGTGTGATTTGCCAGGGGGGACGGGGATTTCCTTCTGGTCTAAACATCCCTGCTTCTGCTGAATTATTTGAATCCCCACACCCCTCCCTCCACAGTAATCAATGCTATAGGCTACTTCACCAATAGACCATATCAAATATAAAATAGAGATATGCAACAGAACAAGCACGTTTAAACAACGATAAACAATAAAATCAAAACCAGCGTTTCAGTTGTCCATAGTTCAAGTGGCCTTAATGCATGCACGGCTTTTCAAAATTTCACAAAGCGTTTTGAGATTATTTTGAATGAAATATTGAAGTTTATAATTAAGTGTTTTGGCAGACCACGCCGAGTGGCCCTATGCATTTTTCTAAAATCGGGTTTTATTCGAACTTTTGCTAACGACAAAAGTTTATCTGTCGTCTCTGTCTCCGGGAACTGCGCGTCACAAAAATGAACCGAAAGCCACTTCAGCTCAGTCACTATAAGAAATCGGCTCTGTCTAATGCCTTTAAATGTCTAAATATTCAGGCTAATAAATGTTATCTGATTATGTAATCCATATGAAAACGAGAGGTACAGAGGATCTACTCAAACATGTAGCCTATGTAAGCGCTTCCCAATGAGAAAATGACAAGGGTGAAAATCTCGCTCTAATGAAATGTAGCAGGCTAAATCGCCCTGAATTAAAATGTAAAAACAGATCAAATAATGTATTTGTCGAAATGTTGCGATATTGTTTCATTTAAGTTCATAATTATTCTATAGGCCTACATGTTATTTAATTTAGCAGCATTACCACGAAGCACCGTGGTTCGATATTTATTTGAATAATAAAAAAAATAATAAAAACTTAATTCACAAATTGCATGCCTGGTTGAAAGGATCCAAAGATCCCTGTAGAATTTAATATTAAGTTGAACATTTTGTTCATGACAACAAATGAACATGCGTTTTTTCAGATTATATTTAGTTTTGCTTGGAAAAAGCTGGCCCAAACCAGTTTTATTTCATCAATTATTGAAATAATGAAATATTTAGTAATAAACTTTTATGACAGAAATTTCACTAGGCTACATGTAACTTAAATCATTTAATTCCTTCATTATCAACACTGTCTAGAATAGCGATTTAAGTGTGAATTACGACTTCTCTTTGTGTTAAATCAGCCTCAGACTCCGATAGCCTGTGGGGGGTTGGGGGACAGTTCAGTGCTGTGCGCGCAGGACAATAGGCCTAGGTGTTAATGTTCCTCTTTCATATGGAGAGCGAGGGAGACTAAATAAACTTGTTAAAAAGAGATTCAGCGCGAGAGAGGCAAAGAAAAACGCATGTTTTAATTTAATTATGTTGCTTTGGACAATTTTCGTTTTGTAGGCCTACTGTTTTAATTGTTTAATGTCATTTATTTGGCAATACAAATTTAAAATGTCGCAAGAATAATATTAGCCTAGTGTTTCTTATTTTGCATCGCAAAAGAAATAAACTCTAAACCCGATGCAACCCTGTTTTAAATAAAAAAAAACACTTTATTTAAACCTTGAAATGTTCGAACTTGGTTTCAAACTTAAGTAATTTTAGTGTTCTTTTACATTACACAATAATTTAGCAGACTAAAGACGAGCTTCTTCATTTTCATTTTCTGATGCAATCGGCTGACAATCTTCCTTCATCAGTTTGTGTCCTTTGTGCAGCGGCTGCGGTTCTACTGGAATGTAGCAAATTTATGTTGTAATGATAATTAAACAAAACTCTTGACTTTAAATAAGTAAACAGTTATAAACAGTTAGCTATTTAAGCATCAAGAAGGTAAAATATAAACGCTGTTGGCCAACATCGGTTAACAACATGTATGCCACATTGAGATTCGATCTCGGGTCGATTGAAGCTCCCTGAAGCTCGTGTTGATGCGTTGATCACTGAGCCACCGTTTGTACGCTGTTAGAGTTAAAGTCTTATGGTTTTGTAAAGCTTCATTGATGTAGCCTAAATGTTTTTATTGCAATGTTTTATGTTTTCATTATTTATTCAATTTCATTTCAGTATTTCAGCCTAATTTCAGTATTGTGGTAATGAATTATTTTAACTACGTTTCACTTGTTGAATTCATCTGCTACCAGCTTTCAATCGCTCTGAATGAGCAGCAGATTACGCATTAGAGAGAATAAACGAACACTTTTCAGAGTCTATGATTGTAGCGCCTCTTAGCGGTAAAAGGTAGCAAATACACCCCACATTTTACCGCCGCGGTGGAACGGCTGATGTGGGCGTTGTCATGGCTTTCCTCTACATTTGCGTTTGAATAGCGCGCGTTCTCCGTGGGCGTGTCAGATTAACGCGTAATGAAGTGTAATGAGCTGGGGAAAAAAATTCTGACAGCACTCTCTTTTCATACAGATTACATAAACTGAGAATATTTGTTTTTTATATAAATTACTTCATTGAAAAGAAGAGAATTCAAGCTTCATAAAGAAAAATCTCTCGTGCCTGTGTGACAAGTATTTGCAGAGTTAGAGTTAATTTTTCGGACGCGTTTCAGAATGGACTGCACTGACAGAGAGAAGGCAAAACTCGCATCATGTTTATTTTTCTTCATTTGACAAAAAGCACAACACTTTGTTTTTATTGTGAGTATACAGAAAAATAATATACACTAAACAGGATCGACTGATGTATAACACTTACATGTAAGATTAAAATCAACAGAGTATTTTGAGTCTCTTTTGCACTGATAAGAAAAAAAGTCTGCCTATCGCGCCGGCGCGATAGCCGACCCCAGGGGGTTAACTACAGATTCATTTCTATCTTGGGAAACTGCAGTTAGAAACCGGAAGAATTGCCGGAAATCTGATTGAAAATGAATGACTGCATGTACGAACGCTCCCTTAGAAGGCAGCAGAATCAGGATGACTACAGTGTTTATGTCAGGAGTGCATCTATAATAACTTAAAAGTCGGGTAGGCAATTTCGGAGAGGCTAGCAATAGCAAGCTAGCTTTGTTTGAAAGCATAAGATCCCACCCTCCCTTCAGAGCGTCTCAAAAGCCACGTCTCCTTCAAAAGGCATGAACGCACACAGCAGAGTCTGCAAAGCGTCACAAGAAGAGAGAGGCGTTGGGTCCTTCGGCCCAAATGGACCCGAAGCATTTAAATATATATTTTTTTTTAAATCATAGCTTTATCGGAATGGTCCGAAATTTGGTGACTTTGTTGGTACTTTGTATATGAACACCCAAAAAAATTGGGGACAGGATTTGAATAGTCTAAGTGGTTGTAAAAAAAATAGTCACACTCAGGACCTTCGGGTCCAAATGGACCCGCATAGGAAATGAATGGGAAATTGGCAAAAATGTGAAAATACAGAGTTTTTTTGTGCGTTCAATCTACAAATCAGCCACGATCCAGAAAAAAGCACACAACAGTGAAGGGGTGAATCTATAAAACATCAAGAGTGCAAAACAGACACATCCACACACACACAAACACACTTTTATACACATACACACTAATAAATTCAGATTACATATGGGTTTTGAATTTTTTAAATGCTCAGTTTGTCCACCAGATGGCATCCATCTCATTTCACTCTAAAATGAAATACAGCTTTAAAAAAAAAAAAAAAAAAAAAAAAAAAAATATTATATTCAATGGGGAAAAAATGGGTCATAATTATTGCATTAATATTAATTATAAATCATTTTTATTTTTGAAATGATCTCAAAACACCAAAAAAAAGAGAGAAAAAATATTATAAAAAACAAGTTAAAAAAAAATGATGATTTTTTTTTTATAAATATTAATCCCACCCTTCCGGCCCATTTGGACCCGAAGGTCCTGAGTGTGACTCTGAAATGAAGGACCCCAGAGGGTTAAACTACCTCATGTCTAAAAGCACATAACATTACAGTAATAATGAACGTAAACAACTTACAGAGCTCTTATTTGTACACATGACTGCTGCAGAATCATTTTGGTGTTGATAGTGTTGACAATAAAATGCATAAATCCGAGTCTGAGGACGTGACGTCACGGGTTGCCACGCAGCAAAAGTGCTGATGACGTGTGATGTCTGCGCGAGAAGGTGCGGGGGGAAATATGTATTGAAATATGAGAAGTATGTAAATACATATGTTGACAGGTAGATAGGACATCGTATCGGACCGAATGCAATGATTGGACAAAACATTTTTGGTGCCGAGACTTCCACAGAAGATCTATATATACATTATGATATATTTACGTTTTAATATTTAGACCACTTCTATTATTGAACGCTATCAGGATGTGAAGAGAGTTTCAACCAGTATAAATAAGTTTAAGTTTAGAGCTTTATTAATTCCCGTGGGGCAATTAGTTTGAGCTTACATGGTGTCTCACATAAAACACTTAGCACATACATAAAAAGAAAAAAAAAAGAAAGAATAATAATAATAATAAATAAAAGTCACCTAAGTTTATTACATAGCCATATTACAAATTGCCTACCCTATCTTTAAAATGCTGCGTATATAGGCAGCTCAAAAGGCTTTAACACAGATCCTAAGATTGGGTTTCTTCTAAGGGTTCAGCATGACCACCGTCGCTGCGGGATACAATGGGAACAAACCTCCCGGAGAGAGACAGAGGGAGAGAGAGAGAGAGAGAGAGAGAGAGGGAGAGAGAGAGAGAGAGAGAGAGAGAGAGAGAGAGAGAGAGAGAGAGAGAGAGAGAGAGAGAGAGAGAGAGAGAGAGAGAGAGAGAGAGAGAGAGAGAGAGAGAGAGAGAGAGAGAGAGAGAGAGAGAGAGGGAGGGAGGGAGAGAGAGGGAGGGAGAGAGAGGGAGAGAGAGGGAGAGAGAGGGAGAGGGAGAGAGAGAGAGAGAGAGGGAGAGAGAGGGAGGGAGGGAGAGGGAGAGAGAGAGTTCTCACCTTGAAGAGGCGCATGGCTGTAACCCAACACGTCCTGGTTTGCTCATCATCCGCACAGAGCAGTTTCAGGTCACGTGCAGAATTTGACTTGCTTGCCTGGATATGAAGAGACATCAAACCCTTTAGAGCTCAGTTTTCCTTTCAAGAGACCATATTAAGCCCTTTTACAAAGTCTTGATTTTGTTTTTCGGCTCTAGGCTACTAGAATATGTTTGAATGTTCAAAAAACACATTGTTTTTTATTCCATATCTGACATTGTTGCAGCTTTTCTCTTCCCAGTCTGCCAGTAACTCTCTGCGGTGCGTTTCCCGAAAGCATCATTAGCCAACTATGATTGCAATTTCCATTGGTAACGACAGAACTTGCGACCATAGTTGGCTTTGGAAAACGCACCCCTGTTTAGTTCCTGTCTCTATGAAGCCCCTCCTACTGAAAAGCACACTGTGCTCTGATTGGTCGGCTGGACCAGTGAGTTGTGACATTCACACCATAACCACCAGTTTCAAAACACTACTAACTAACTCAAACAGGCCCCGCCCCTTTATTCTGCATGAAATGAGGAATATTCTGACGTGTTCGTTCCTGAAGAAAACTCAAGACTACAATGGAGGCGTTTCAGGGAGTCAGAAACACTGACACTGATATAGAGAATAACTCCCGCTGGAGGGACTTTCAGAGCTTTTTCTTGTTTAAACAGCAACATTACACACTAAAGAAAGATGAACATGGGGGGGAAAGCATAATATGACCCCTTTAAATTAAGATTTATTTATCTATTTGAATGAACAGTCCTTTAAAATCTTAGAATTTATCTTTGAAATACTTAAAGGAGAACTCCGGCGCAAAATGAACCTTTGGTCTAATAAAACATTGGTACCTAGCAGGGTGGGAATTATGTAATTTTAGGGGCAAGGCCATTTGGCCTCCACCTTTTCTTTTTTTTTAGGGGCACCAAGGCCATATGACAGGGCACAAAGGCCATTGAGTACAATTCGATGGTTTTCCCATTCAGATCGATACCATAACATCCTAATTTGGAATAAGACACGGATTATGACTTTTTTAAATAAAAAATATTTTTTTTACCCTCTGTGATCTGATTTGGCTTCAGATTAAAAAAAAATCAGACAGAAAATATAATATTTTATGTATAATCAGGCATGAAAACAGTTCAGGGGTGAAAAGGGTGAGAAGGATATTACCTCTCTAGGGGGGTCCGGGGGCATGCTCTCCGTAAGAAAATTTTATATATTCCATATTTTAAAGCATCAATCTGATGAATTTTTAGATGCATTTTTTTTGCATACCAGCGCAGTTAAAAAAAAAAAATCAAATAGAATTTCTATAACTGTGTTGAACTGATAATCACTCTTTTGTGTGCTTTTTGTGTGTCTTTTGCTTAACACACAATCTACTTAATACAGACAACTTCATTATAAAGAAAAACAACAAATAAAAAAAAAATATGATCATAACCAATCATGACAAAAATTCTATTATAAACTAGATTAGTGGATAACTCAGCAGTAAAATTTAGTCTAGAAAAATCACAAATGTACAATAATTTTATCAAATCTGAACATTTAGTGAAAAAAAAACATTATTTACTGGGGAACAAATAAGACACAATAAGTGTAGCACTAAATCTGGTAAAACGTTACACATTGCTCTTTGTATTGTTGTAAAATACATGAATGAAAAACAAGATAAAAATCAGAAAGATCAATTATTTTATAGTCTAGGGCCTAGGGGCTACTATAAAATTAAGACATTTTTTTAAATGTATATCACAGCGAGCTGTTTAATGAGGCAGCAACATATGATAGATAGGACAGAACAAAAAAGGCTATTAAGAATCTTTCATTGCGCAAAAGTATTATATGATTATGAAAGGATCCAACACAGTGCGACACAAAGCGCTTATGCGCATCCCGAGCGCAGAATGATGCGCTTGAAACAACACAGTCACAGCGCTGTGACTGTGTTGTTTCAAGCGCATCTATCTATGCAATAGTTTATTGAGCCTTTTCTTTTAAGAGTTTTAAATTTCAGTTACTGTGCGCGTGAAGAACAATTATAGTGCTCCAGTGTTGTGATCTAACAGACACACTATAGAAAGTAACATGATTAAGTTACAGCAATACAGTCCAGCAAGATAGTCATTTTATGCGAAACCATAGAGCTTTATCTACAGATCAAGTATAATAATATTAACATTGAATCATCTTGGAGAGGGTTATCTGTAACCGAACGCGACGCGCTGTTTGATGCTGAATGGAGAATGACTGGCAGTCGCAGCGGAGGGAAAAGTTTTCGTGAACTTGAATTTAATGACTTAAATTTCTATCTCACATCATAGGCTACTAGTATGGCTTCATATAGTATACCATTCTATTCAATTCAATAAAATATTATTCCTGTTAATAGAAATCTGATGTAAACTGAGAATATATAAATATTTCTCCAAATCTGCACACTTTTGAGCTAAAAGCCGTGAGGGACGTTGTTTTGTGAATCGCTGTCATGACGACAGCACAGGAGTTTTTTATGAATGGGAACGCGATGGGGAAAAGAAACGCTTCAGTGCGCCGACGCACTGGTTATGACACTGCACCTGCGCGAATCCACGAACTAATTGAAGTTCAGAGACTACTTGGGTGGCCCACTATGCCGCACTGGCGCTTTATACATGGAACTTGGACAGGGCCAGGGCACACAGGCCACTGTGGCCGTACGATGATTTTTTTTTCACGGGGCATGAAGGCCAAAGTGTAGGGCAACGGCGGCCATGGCCGCGTGGCCGCGGTATAATTCCCACCCTGGTACCTAGTCAACCGTTCTCTGAGATTTGTTTTCATGATAATCGAATGTAAAGAGTTTTATCTCTAAAAACTGTTTAGCGTATAACGCTAGTAATGGGGGCATTTAATAAGTAAAAAGAAATCGCTAGTTTATACCATTAACAAGGCTCAAAATAGCCCCACACTAACACAGTAACATAATGAGGGTCCCTACATGCAAACGAAGCACTGAGAACTTTGTAAGTGTACAGACCGTTTAATAAGAAGATAAAGATAAAGACAGTCCACTTCGTGTATACAGACAGGAGCCATCTTTGGAAAACAGTCTCGACTAATCAAACCACGAACGCCATTCATACAGTTCAGAAGTTCACTAAACTTCATACAGTTCAGCTCACTTAGCACGTCGTTCGTGGTTTGACTAGTCGAGACTGTTTTCCAAAGATGGCTCCTGTCTGTATACACGAAGTGGACTGTCTTTATCTTTATCTTCTTATTAAACGGTCTGTACACTTACAAAGTTCTCAATGCTTCGTTTTGCATGTAGGGACCCTCATTATGTAACTGTGTTCGTGTGGGGCTATTTTGAGCCTTGTTAGTGGTATTAACTAGTGATTTACTTTTGGTTATTATATGCCCCCATTACTAGCGTTATACGCTAAACAGTTTTTAGAGATAAAACTCTTTACATTCCATTATCATGAAAACAAATCTCAGAGAACGGTTGACTAGGTACCAATGTTTTATTAGACCAAAGGTTCATTTTGCGCCGGAGTTCTCCTTTAATTGCTGCCATTCTGTGCTATTATAGTTGCACTTTTTAATTTGACTTTTTTTGTCCTTGTATATATGCCTCTTATTTTCCTTTCAACATATACCAATATTTCATTTGAATTAATTTATCAATTTATTTATTTTTATCAATATATTGATTTATCTATCCATTTATCAATTTTCATTTCTTATCTACCATTTTTAAATAATTTGTATGTAAATCACTTACATACAAGTGTGTATGTGTTTATAAATAAGTAAACACATACTTGTGTGTGTGTGTTATATAAATAAATTAGCCTTGTATTGCCTAATATTTTTTATGATGCTAAAGTGTATAATTGATCACTGTCCCAGAAGCTTTGCTCAAGTTTCATGTGCATTGTATCACTATACTGTCTCTATCTTTCTCAAATAACAAAACAGAAAGAAATATTACACCTCCATTTATTTATTTACTTTGTTAGTATCCATACGATATGCGGTACAATGCACAGTCAACCGGTCATTATGGCAAAATAAATATCATCCTTCAACTCACACAATTCACCCTGAAGATTGTTTTGAAGATTTTTTTACTATTACTCTCACTCACACGTGTCAGAGCAGAGATCAATGTTTGTAACGCTAAAGACACAATACAAAGTCCACGAAAGATAAGCAGCCAGACAGATTGTTTGATTGCAGTTTTATATAACCCACAATAAACAATAAATCTGAGACTTATGAGGCTTATTAAATCATAAAACCACTGGTAACACTGACCCTGACTGCTGTAGTTGTAATTCAGTATTACAGTGAGATTGATTATAAAGCATGTGAAAAAATCCCCCAAACTGTGTCTGATTTCCTGAAGATTATTTGCATTGAATTACCTTCACACAGAAGCCGTAGTCTGTCGGGGCGCCGTAAACTTTTCTGGCTGATAATAATGTGTAGACGTCACTGTCACCGAACTCTGCAATGAACTGCAAGTGTCTGGGTTCCTTCAGAAAAGAGAAAATAAGAATTATAGTCAAAGGAATAATACAACATCCAAAACAAACTTCATTGCTATTTAGTTAACCACTAAATTAGCAAGCAATCTATCTACAAACTGAAACAAGTTTTCTTCTGTTACCCAGTTCATGATCAGAATTGTTTTTCCAAAATGTGTACTTTCAGACGATGTTTAAATATTGTGAAATAGAAATTAAAAGAGTGAAAAAATTCTCAACAAGGTTGCATTTATTTGATCAAAATACAGTAAACCAAGTTATATTGTGTATTATTATTACAATTTAAAACAACTGCTTTCTATTTGAATACATTTTTAACTATAATTAATCTATTTTTGGTTATAAACTATAAAGAATATTATTTAAAGTGTCCTTGATGAAGAAAAATATGAATTCCATAAAAACAGTATTTGAACAGTCAAGTGTGTGTGTGTGTGTGTGTGTGTGTGTAAATATATATATGTGTGTGTGTGTGTGTGTGTATAAATATACACCCACACACACACACACACATATATACACTACCGTTCAAAAGTTCGGGGTCGGTACGATTTTAAATACTTTTAAAAGAATTCTCTTCTGCTAACCATGGCTGCGCTTATTTGATTAAAAATACAACAAAAAATCAGTTATAGTATTAAATATTATTCCAGTGTAAATCAGCTGTTTTCTGTGTGAATATATAGTAAAGTGTAATTTATTCCTGTGAACAAAGCTGAATTTTCAGCATCACCAGTGTCAGTGTCTTCAGTGTCAAATGATCCTTCACAAATCAGTATAATATGAGGATTTGATGCTCAAGAAACATTTATTATTATTATCAATGTTGAAACAGTTGTTGGTCTGTCAGTTGTACAGTTTTTTTTTGTTTTTTTAGGATTCTTTGATGAATAGGAATTCCAAAAGAACAGCATTTGTTTGAAATAGAATCTTTTGTAACATTATAAATGTCTTTACTGTCACTTTCGATCAAATTAAGTATTGATTTCTTTCCTCCAAAAAATAAAAATACAATTCTCACTGACCCCAAACTTTTGAACGGTAGTGTATATATAAATATATATATATATATATATATATATATATATATATATAAAATCAAAACGTGGGAAATAATTTATATATATTAATGCTTTAAATATGAGGGAAGAACAAAACACTTAACTTGGCTAAGGGTATTTAACTGACAAAATGATTTGGCAAAAAAGTCAAACTTTAGTTTTTATTTATGCAAAAAAAAAAAAGATGCATAAAAAAAGGTCACAGGAAATAGCATACATTTTCCTAGGCCGGACATCATTATATCATATTTATAAATATATATATAAAACTATTTAAAAATGTAATATATAATATTAACTTCAAAATGCCATCTATCATAATACACTAAACGCGTGAGCGTATATGAGAGGTGTGTGTGCTCACATTCATTCGTTCCAGCAGTAAGCCTGCTTTAGCGTGGAATAAATCCAAACGTGTGAGATATGAACGGCATCTCACAGACCGTCAGGACACGAGTGACACGCATGGAATTTGTAATGTTATATAGAGAAGAGTATGTGTGAGCGTTCACAGACACATAGAGACAAAAGAGTTGACCTGTGCACATGAGGAGGGGTCTCTTCAGAAAGCCACTGGGAATCCTGTGGCACAGGGTTAGGAATCAAAACATGATTCTTATTCAGAACACTTTACTAGAAGAGTCAGGCAGTGTTTCTTGCACTGGTTTGTTGAAATTCAGCTCACTTTGTCTCAAAGGCTGAGCTACTGCTGCTCATTTACACTTTCACATGCTTCCAAATTGGTTATCAAAAATACAAAAGTATCTAAAGTGGATTTGAGAACATCTCTCAGCTTTAAACCTCATTGAATTTGTTATTTCACACGTTTGAACTCTTTTCCAGAATTGAAATCAATGTTGAAAGCTCAAACCGGGACTAAGGCGGCTGTCTTCTCGCCTGAGGGTGTAATATGCATATCCATGGCAGGAGATAGCATGGAAATGTGTTGCAATGACAGGAGCTTTATCTCAGCAACACTGCTAGTGAGGCGAGTCAAAAGAAAAAGAAAAGCCAGAGCGAGACACCAAAGAAAGAAAAGCAAACACACACACACACAATATAACATATCTTTCTGCATTTTCAAAAAAAATTTTTTTATTTATACACCGTTTTTCTCATGGGGACCTAAAAATGTCCCACAAGGTCAAATATTGCCATCCTTGTGGAGACATTTTTGGAGTCCCCATAATGTAGGGTTTACCAGGAACACACACACGCACACACGCACAAAGGCGGGCTTTGTCTCACCTTTATAAGTTATGTACTTAACGGACCTTCTTTCGCCCTACAATCCACCGCGTTCTCTAAGATCACTAAATTCAAGGCTTCTGGTCATTCCTAGGATATCGAAGTCCACGAAAGGAGGGAGGGCATTCTCGCATTTAGCTCCAAAACTCTGGAATAGCCTTCCCGATACGGTCCGATGCTCTGACTCGCTGACACAGTTTAAAACTAGACTAAAGACGTGTCTCTTTAGTCAAGCATTCACATAATGCTTACCTTTTAGTCCTCTGCTATGCCATACGGAACCGTTTGCCACTGAAACTGCTTAACGCACCAGTGGGGCTCGACAGCCTTATAGACAAACGGGTCGGTCCGTATGGTTGCGGTTGGGTTGCGGAGAGTTTGGGTTACGGAGAGTTGTGAGATTATGGTTTTCTAACACCTACTCCCGTGTAATGGAAATCATTATGAACATCAGCTATGCTAATTATTTCCCATCTGCCTTTCTGCTGTTATCTCGGGACGCTTGTCCCGAGAAAAATGGCGTTCGTAGGCTCCAGTTTGGTATCCTGCCTCTCACGGGGATTTCAGATGCCTCAACGCCTGTGATGAGAAGACCAACGCCTGTGAAGAGACGACTCAACGCCTGCGAAGAGACGACTCAACGCCGGCGATATGTTATCCCCTAAATATTACATGATTAACTAAATGTATTTTTTCCAGGTACTCTCTGATATGGACTTACTGTAAAGCTTCTTTAAAACCCTATGATTGTTAGCCAGAGGAGAACTGGCCCCTGACTAGCCTGGGTTCTCCCAAGGTTTTTTTCTCCATCCAATCTGATGGAGTTTTGGTTCCTTGCCACTGTCGCCCTGCTTTTGGCTTGCTTAGTTGGGGATATTTAATATTCAACAATATTATTGAACTGTGTTGTACTACTTTCATGTTATCACTGTGAAGCTGCTTTGATGCAATCTGTATTGTGAAAAGCGCTATATAAATAAATGTGACTTGACTTGACTTGACTATAAGCCTCACATGTCTCGTTTCTAAACTCACAGAGACAGACTCGTGAACTAGACTAAGGTGTGGGCTCACAAACTGACAGAACTCTTTCACCTTTGACACCAAAATCTGCAACAGGTCTGATTGCTTGGCTGAATTGCTCAGTTGTTTCTTCAATGCCTTTATGTTTTATGATCATTTTTGTAAAATATTAATTAAATAAAATTACACATTTTCTTTTTGTTATATCAAGGTCACATTAAAACCACCTAGGACACTTTCCAGCAAGCCTTTCATTTATTTATTTAGCTACTTTTCAAACGCTGTCTGACTTCTAATTACTATAATAAAGTTTTATATTATATAATCTTTATATGTGTATTTTATGCATTTTATAGTTATAACACTGTAACTATAAAATATAATTACTATTGCGATTGTGTGTGTGTGTGTGTGTGTGTGTGTGTGTGTGTGTGTGTGTGTGTGTGTGTGTGTGTGTGTGTGTGTGTGTGTGTGTGTGTGTGTGTGTGTGTGTGTGTGTGTGTGAGAAATGGATTGTGCATCATTTCCAATCAAGCTGTTATTTTGTCAAATTATGCATTGAAAGTAATTTATTGGGTGTATTATGATTATGATACATAAAATGCTATTTTAGATGTGTTGGGATCTCTCAGAAATCTCCTCTGATGCATGTAATGTCCACCCTTGCACACTGTTGGTGGACACATTAAAAAAAGCAATGAGTGTATGGAAAGTGTTTCATGAGAGTTTATTTTCTAAAAGTGCCCACAGAAACAGCCTGATATCATGAAGTGGACAGCGAGTTCCTCTTATATCCTGAACAAAAGCTCTATTGTGGTAAAAAGAAAAAAGATTGAGGGTAGTGCTGGTTGGCACAGTAGTGTGCAGCTACACACCTCACCTGTTGTGTGACTTTGAAGGGTTCAGCACTTGGCATACCAGGAGTGTTACACAAAATCCGGCTCTACAAGTTTTACTGAGTAAAGCCCCATAAATCTGCACTGTTAGATCTGACTATCACATCTAGACTGCATCAGATAAGAGTCAGAACGACAGCACCTGAATGAACCCCTGCAAACCAACAGCTCTTGAACCTCTGCATAATCTCGCAGCTCACGATGCACGGCTCACCTTTAAGGGATCTAATAAGTAAGAGCAAGTGGTATTGTGAACAATTAAAGCTAATCCCTGCAGACTTTGTGGCATTGAGATCAAAGGACGGAGAGTTTTAGCGAGCCAGAAACTGAGCGCAGAGCAGGTGTGTGACGGATCTGAACACACCTTTGATGTGCCCTTGTTGGAGAAGTACAATCCTGATCTTCTTAACACGAAGTAGAACTTCTTCCATGATTTCCTGCCATGCTCTTTGGCGTGGAGGTACCCGTGAATCTCAGGACAAGAACTGGAACTGAGGAAGGTCTGCAGGAGGAAAGTCAGACACAACATGCTCAAACAAACCCTTTATCCAACTCGTGTATATATATATATATATTCAATTAATTTCATTAATGTTGATAATTAAATGAATAATTAAAAGTAAATATATTAGTGCTGTCAAACGATTAAAATATTTAATCGTGATTAATCGCATTAATGTCATAGTTAACTCGCGATTAATCACAATTAATCGCACATTTTTATCTGTTCTAAATGTCTCTTGATTTCTTTTTGTCCCATTATTTTTTCTCATTTTAATGCTCTTATCAACATGGAAAAGTGGATCGGCTTGCTTTGTGCAAATGTTTTTTATTGAAAACAACATTGGCATATACTGTATTCAATTTCACACTAACATTCTCACTTGGAGCAAATAATCTCTCACACAATGTAACACTGTCCATCAATAAAAGGGTGAAAGAAATACTGACGAGGTCCTGATATTGACGAGGGTGCGGAGAATTCGCATCAGCTGTGTGTGTGTGTGTGTGTGTGCTTGGCCATCAAGTGGTATTTCAGACTGGACGTGCTGCGATGATGATCGCTCAGTTCACAACGACAAAACACACAGATCACTTTGGTCTTGTCAATGGAACCATTTGGCAACTTTTTAAAAGTAAACTTTCCATTCAGAATCTTATTGGCATCCATTTCGGCGTCTCGCACTCGTCACCCACTCAAAACGTAACGTTAACCTACTATTTGGCCGGCTCGCAACAAGTGTGTTTCCGGTCTAGCTAGATCTGGTGTTTTCATACAGGACGCGGAATGCGCGGCGCTACGCCAGTTTTCAAAACTTTTTGGATGCCAAAACGTTCTGTTCTCAATAAGATTCTGAATGGAAAGTTTACTTTTAAAAAGTTGCCAAATGATTCCATTGAAAAGACCAAAGTGATCTGTGTGTTTTGTCGTTGTGAACTGAGCTATCATCATCGCAGCACGTCCAGTCTGAAACACCACTTGATGGCGAAACACACACACACACACACACGAATTCTCCGCCCCCACGTCAATATCAGGACCTCGTCAGTATTTCTTTCACCCTTTTATTGATGGACAGTGTTACATTGTGTGAGAGATTATTTGCTCCAAGTGAGAATGTTAGTGTGAAATTGAACACAGTATATGCCAATGTTGTTTCCAATAAAAAACATTTGCACAAAGCAAGCCGATCCACTTTTCCATGTTGATAAGAGCATTAAAATGAGAAAAAATTATGGGACAAAAAGAAATCAAGAGACATTTAGAATAGATAAAAATGTGTGATTAATTGCGATTAATCGTGAGTTAACTATGACATTAATGCGATTAATCGTGATTAAATATTTGAATCGTTTAAAAGCACTAATATATCAGTATGTGCCTGTATAAACACCCAAGAAAACTAGCTAGCAGAAGATAAAAGAAAAAATTACTCTGCACATTTAATAATAACAATATGAAGATCATCACCTGTATGAGTTGTGAGTGGTTCATGATTCCATTGGTTTCACTCGATATAGACACCATGTGCTCTGGGAAAAAGTCCTGCAATGACCCAAAGAAAAGAAAAACATTCTCCATAATCTTCACAAAAATAACTCTGAGGTGAATTTGCTTACAAATTAAATTAGGTGAATATTATTTGTAAGCAAACAACTCCACTGACTCTTCTTTTTAGTTGTTTACTGTGTTTCTGTCACAGAAACAAGTGCAATTTCTCAAGACACATATTCAATCTGTCAGGTATAAAAGACATTTTATGTGTGCTATGAAAGAAATCCCTTAAAGCCCCTTTGTTAAATCCCGCATTAGGATCCTCAACCTTTAAAATCACAGGATTTAGTGATCTGTGCTTGATTACTCAGGCATTACCTTGAATTCTTAACCAGTACAATTAAAAAGCCCTATTGTGTGTCTCAGTGTTTCAATCTTTAATGACCTTGAATAGGTAACTCTGGATATTTGGCTAAACTTCAGCAAATCAATTATACATTACCAGGGCGACAGCACACACACACACACACACACACACACACACACACTCACACACACGTTGGGTTTTTTGGGGTTTCCATGTTTTATAGGGAATTTTCATAGACATAATGATTTTTATATTGTACAGACTATATTTTCTATCCCCTAACCCCAATCCTACCCAACACTGAGTATAATCTGTGTATAATCACTGATCATAATCACTCTGAGTATAATCACGGAGTAAGATTTCTAAGCTGTTTTCCTCATGAGGACCAAAAAATGTCCCAGCAAGGTCAAAGGTATCGCCGTCCTTATTGTAGGGAATACTGTACTGAATTACCAGAACAACACACACTTACAAGAGGCTTCTTGAAGAACTCGTATTTGGCATAATTCTTCCTGAAGTACAGACAGCATTGTGAGTCCATGCCCCAGCCAGACTGAACCTCCATAACTGACTCATGGTCTTCTATGGTTCTCTCTGGAAATCAAAAACAAAAGTCAGTTTAGTGCATGCTCATGAATTACCTTTTGAAGCAGATTATGTGCATTAAAGAACAGACTCAATCGCAAGCACAGCTGTCAATCATGATGTTACGCTCCGTTTGTATAGCATCAAATAACTGACTAAAACCAAACTTATTGGGAAACGAACGCTTGAACATACATCTGCATGATAAGAACAACCTACAATGACGGAAACCATCTTTGGAAAAAAAGTGTGATTGGATTTTTAAGTTTGGCTCGCGTCCCATTCGATTATATGGAGAGGGCGGGGTTGAACGATGACCTATACTCCAGCCAGCCACCAGGGTGATCGAAGTGCTTTAGCTTCACTCTTCAGGACGTGTATGGCACACTCGCTTTGAATTCTGCTTAGAGTCAGCTCTTTTGATAATATAAAATTTTACTGCCCTTGTTTGTTTCCAGCTTTCAGTTTTACCATCCCACTTCTCCGTGGGCTTGACGGATGAATTATTAACACTCTTTTCAAAAATTATGCCTTGATAATGAGCAACCTTCAATAGTAGTGAGAATGATGTGCGGGGGAGCTTGTTATTCCACTTTATCATTAAATATTATTCAGCTCCTGCAACCCTAAATGCATGTTTAATGACTAAATGGAAAGCATCTGTTTAGAAGCAGCCATCTGGAAGAGTTAGACTACTGTTAGTGTTATCTAATACTAATTAATTCCCATAGCGTTACAGTTACTGCAGTGAACAGACAGAGATCCTCACTGCTATAATGCAATGATGTTGTTTGCATTGGATATGACCAAATGAGCTACGTCGTCTCCGTGATGTTGATGATGTTACATTTGGAGCTTAATATGTTCTGGCTTTCAATGTATATTTAATGTATATTAATGTATATCTGCCTTTTTAGTATATCTCAATATTTATAAAATGATGCATTTCAACTGTTATTCAGCTGAAGTCAGTTCAGTGTTGATTCAGTTCCGTTGTAAAGATCATCAATTATTAAAGTAGTTAATTTCATCTACAAAGCAGTTCTGGAAAATATGATGTCATCGTCCAGCTCAGTTCAGTTCTCATAAAACAGCATCACTACAGTGGGATCAATAATACTTCTGAATATTAAGTGTCTCCAACTAAGCAAGCCAGAGGCGAAACATAGCCATTCTGTTTCTCGATATGTCATTTTACGAGCGTCTGCCAATGGAATCCCTTTATGGTCGGAAGTCAGAGATATCAAAGTAGGAATATACCAAATCTGATTTGAAAATGAACACAGCATAATCAAATGGCATCTTTCGGAAACTAATAGCCCATAAAAAGTGCATGATTGGTAATCATCAACAGGGCTCTCAAGTTTTAAAGACAGGCAAGAGTGACAGCAGTCAAGTTGTCATTGTTTGTGTCAAACAAGCTGTGAATTTTTTGTAACATTAAAACAGGAGATCATGACTTATCTTGAATCTTACCCAGATACAATAGTGCTATTTTCTGATTGGCTATTGTGTAACCCCTTTCTTTTTTTTGATTGGCTGATAAGTGGCAGGCTCGACTAAGAACTCCAGGGGAAACGCGCTTGATTCCTGCCGGTTCCATAGTGAGAGTGACGTGGCCAGATAAATTTTGGGCGTTGCGGCATATTAAATATATTATAAATAGTTTTTCGGCGTGAGAAATACAATGTGTGGCGGGAGTGCGTGACAAAAGACCGAAATGAGTGACTGTCACGCTCAATGCGTGACACTTGAGAGCCCTGCATCAACTATTTCCTAGTCTCACTCATTGGGGAAAAAAATGCATCAAGATCCCAATTTGGGCTGTTCTGAATGGAGACGACACACAGGGATCCTGCCATGTGTTCCCACTAGCGCTGCTACATGTGTGAAACTCCAGCAATGAGACATGTTACCAAGAAGATATAAATAATGCAGGTGGCGTCTTTAACCCCGGGAAGAGGAACACCCTGCTCGAATGTGAGCAGACGGAGGCTGTTGACTGGCTCATTCACACCAATCTGGAAACCAGTGCGCAGAGCGTGTGTTTAATTACTGCATCTGAATCACTTCTCATCAGGCTGGAACTAATGCCAGGTTCAGACTACATGATATCACCCTGATTATGGCATGATCCATTTGACGTCGGGTGTCGTGGTGATTCGTAAAAAACAATTGGCGTCGGGATGCAAGAATCAATCGTTTTATCTTGTATAGTGTGTCACAGTGGATGACAGCCAACAATGATTCATGACATCCCGACAGAAAGACTAGCATGACGACGGGTTTCGTCCCATCTGTGAAGCCAGCCAATAGGAGCACAGAAGCTCTTCCGTACACAGCTTTCAAACATGGTGAAACGAAAGAGAGATTATGGTATTGGTGCTGCTACTGTAGGTGGAATTATGTAATGGAGGAAAGATTCGTGGAGCTCCTGTCTTTATGATGTTTCCTCGAGAGAATAACACGACAGAGGGAAAAATGATAAATGCTGGTGAAGCATAGTAGAGGTGCTTTAGTAACCCGGTGAGTACTGGTGAGCATTGATTGTTTATGCTCTTATTTCTCAAAGTCAGTCGCTAGTTACGCCTTCTGCGCTGATTGAAAGGTCGAGAAGCAGTGTGTAGTCGGACATGTTTTTTGTCCATGACACAGCAAGAATTTAGGAGACAAGATCGCATAATCTGACACCGTGACTAACGTATCAGACAAAAATATTGTGTAGTGTGAACCGGGCATAAGAGACTCGTGAATGAATCATTCAGACCAGTTTTGTGAACTGGATCAACTGATTCATTCAAAAGATTCAACTCAAAAGAACGAATCAGACATCGACACTACTCTGATGAACTCTCATCAATGTGCAAAGGAAAGTTAGGGCAGATCAGTGTTTACGTAAAATGAGAAAAAAACAAATAAATACATATTTATATATAAAAATAAACTTAAAAAACTTTTTAAGTTGAAGTACTACTAAACCTAATAATGAGATCAAATAAATTGAAGCTACAGTAAATAGCTTAATAAATAAAAAATATAAATAAAACACTAATAAAAATGACAAAAGCACATAACAAACTTGCTGATTCAAAATATGAAATACTACGATAGTATATAAATCATACTAAAATAACACTAGAGTGGATGTCAAGATTTTGAGTGAATAAAATGCGTCAGAAAACTTACAGCACAAATAATGCATATGGACTTTTATGATACCTCCTCTCTAGAATCAGAATGCACACCCTTCTAATAATAATCAGATTAATTGATGAAAGGTTTTTCTATACCCTTTATTTGAACTGGAATACATTCGATGACAACACACCAAAATATCCAGTTCATCCACTCATTGCACTTTTTTTGCTTTACGTTTTTGTTATAGTTCAAATGCTTGTTGGCTCAGAAAAGAGCAGCTTACCGATACTCAGATGTGGGATCTGCTCGAACAGGGTCCAGCTGTGGTCATCAATGCAGTGGTTCTTCAGGATGAACAGTTGGCAGATGTCCCGGGCAGTGATGTCACTGGGCACCTCCACCGCTCGGCTGGTGTTGTCTTCACTGTACACTTTGATTACCTGCAACAAATGACAACAGAAAGAGGGTTTTGACTGTATTCAGAATGGAATACTAGCTTACTGCTTACTAAATAACACACATTATGGACTGTTTAAATGAATGAATGAATAAATAAATAGCACCGCAGTTCAAAAGTTTTTACAAATATTTTTTGTAAAGAAGTCTCTTCTGCTCACCAAGGCTGCATTTATTTGTTTAAAAATACAGAAAAAACAGTAATATTGTGAAATATTATTATTATTAAGCTGAATTTTCATCATCATTACTCCAGTCTTCAGTGTCACATGATCCTTCAGAAATCTTTTTAATATGCTGATTTATAACAGTTTAAACAGTGGCTGTCACGTGGTCTTAAAATAAATAGCTATTTTGCATTTTTAATCCATATGTGTGTGCAATAATTTTTTCTTAACTTTTAGCAGGAAAGAGATGCAGATATATTTTCCGGTTCATTCATCGTGCTGAAAATGGAAGGTCAAGTCAAGCGCAGTGCATTGTGGGATACTGTACACCACATAAGCTCTGCAGTAAACTGAACCTTTTAACAAATCATAAAATGCACACACTATGCACAGTATACACAGTACAGCAATAGTAAGAGCAGAACGCTAGCATACTATTCTGAACACAATCATGGATTCGCAGTTTTTCCATGTCACACTCCTGCCATTTTACCTTTCTAGTGATGATCATTGGATAAACACACACTCCTTTGCCATCCCACAAGGACATTCTGAACTAAATTTCACTTCATGCCCTACATACAGTATGCAACAACCCGTTCATTCAAAGTGCAGACAGCCTGTGCTGCAGGAGAAGTCATGAATGTTCCCTTTCATGAGCGCTGGAGTTCCCTGCTACGCCTCATATCCTCATAGGATGCGCTGGAGAACCCAATATAATTCCTTTTAGAGCTGTTAGAGTTTCGGGGAATTGCTTTCCAATGATCCCACAGAGAAACAGAGCAGCATTTCAAACCTCTCGCATCGATTTCACACACGCACATACACGAAAAAAAAAAAAACTGGCAACTAAATTGGCATTTCAGTGCAACTTACCCCTGTGCTGGGCACCTGGCAGGGCTGAGATTTGGGACAAGCTCCGCAGCTTATGTAGGGCTGTGCACACAGCATTTCTCAAGAGTTGAGTGAACATACAACATAAACGCAAGTATCAGCCGGGGAGCAGCGAGCTTCCTCTCTCTCCGCAGCCGAGCTCAAATGAGGTAATTAGAGAGAGCTCCGCTGATGCATGTCACCATGGCTCTGTCCAATCACCTGCCACCGTTTATCCAGCGGGGGTGAGTCCTGCGCCGGCTGCCCCCCGCGTACACACACCGGAGGGGGAGGGGGGCAGAAAAGTCACAAGATTTGCCCCACCTTCCTATTCACACTATCTTGACAGGCCCCTGCCCTCTGCATAAATCCCAGCAAGCAATTAGAAAACTGCTGGTTAAATGCGAGACCTGACGGGTCAACCCGGACTGAAGTTGCACAGGGTGGGTGAAGGGCGAGAGAGAGCGAGAAAGTGAGTCACTTCTGCTATGCAGTACATGTTCACGTCATCTTCATTTATTTCATGAAATCATATTTGTTTGTTCTATTTAATCTAGTGCTGTCAAACGATTAAAATATTTAATCGCGATTAATCGCATTAATGTCATAGTTAACTTGCGATTAATCGCAATTAATCGCACATTTTTATCTATTCTAAATGTCTCTTGATTTCTTTTTGTCCCATTATTTTTTCTCATTAACATGGAAAAGTGGATCGGCTTGCTTTGTGCAAATGTTTTTTATTGAAAACAACATTGGCATATACTGTGTTCAATTTCACACTAACATTCTCACTTGGGGCAAATAATCTCTCACACAATGTAACACTGTCCATCAATAAAAGGGTGAAAGAAATACTGACGAGGTCCTGATATTGACGAGGGGGCGGAGAATTCGCATCAGCTGTGTGTGTGTGTGTGTGTGTGTGTGTGTGTGTGTGTGCTTGGCCATCATCAAGTGGTATTTCAGACTGGACGTGCTGCGATGATGATAGCTCAGTTCACAACGACAAAACACACAGATCACTTTGGTCTTTTCAATGGAACCATTTGGCAACTTTTTAAAAGTAAACTTTCCATTCAGAATCTTATTGGCATCCATTTCGGCGTCTCGTGCTCGTCACCCACTCAAAACGTAACGTTAACCTACTATTTGGCCGGCTCGCAAGCCTAAACAAGTGTGTGCGGCGTGCCTGTTGTTTTGTTTCCGGTCTAGCTAGATCCGCTTGCGCTTTGGTCGACGAAGCAACAAAACGTCCTCGAGCGGCGCAAGCCATTGAAATGAATGGGTTTCATAGCGCAGCGCAGCGCCGTTTCGACTACCTCTGGAAGTGGTTGAAAGTGGACAAGCTGAAATATTGTGATAAAAGTGATATTATGATAAAAGTGTGGCGAAAAGATCATCCTTAATATCGGGTCAGAAAACAAAATGAGTAACGAACGCAAATGTATACTGAGCTGAGCCGAGTTATCTGGTTCGGTTCCCTAAAACGAGCCGGAATTCCCATCATGAGGAAACAGCCTATCAGTCACGTGGATTTAATGTGCGCTATGTACGTTTCCATCTCACATTATTTGCATTAACTCTTTTTCGCACAAGTTAAATACCACCTCAAGCGAACGTAAAAACTTTTTTGCGGACTAAGGGATTCCCCCCCACCCCCCCCCCCCCCGAATTTTGCCGTTTCCATCTCTCGTTTCTGATGCGATACTACAAAATGCACATAAAAACAGGGTGATGGAAACATAGGTATTGATGTCAGTTCCTGAATGACATCATCCTCCAGGAAATTACATCATTCTGATGGGGAAAAAAAACAGCACAGACAAATATGCATTTCTAAAGGCCCTGTTTACACTTTCAACCACTTACAGAGGTAGTCGAAAAACGCATTCTACCAGATTGTTTTCGTACTGTAAATGCTCATGTGGTCAAATGAGATCAAACAGCCACAAAAGACCATTTACTCTCCACCTACTGACCTAATGCGTGAACATTATAGGAAGCGCGGTTGCCAGACGGGATTTAAACTTTGTCGGCTGTAGACTCAAGTTTGGTTTGAAGATGAAAAACGTATCAAGCACAATGTTCTCTCATCATTCCTGATTTCTAACACACACTCACAGCGTCTGTGATCTTTGGGCTGTCAGAGCAGAAACTAAAGCTGATGTTCTCCGTATGTTTTTCTGTGTCTCTGGTCGTGTTCATATGTATATTGAGCGAGTTATTTTGTCCATTAGATCGAAAGACCCTCCCCTCGAAGAAATCAGGACAGAAGTGGTTGAAAGTGGACAAAAGAGACGGATTAAAACACCAAGACTTATAATTCTGAGTAAAACAGGAGATTCAGTTAAAGAAAATGTAGTATGTCAGCTGAAAAAGGCATTAATTATGAAATCATTTTTGCATTTAAAAACACAAGACAAAGGGAAAACAAATGACTAACTTTGGTCATAAGTCATAAAGCTTAAGTGTCTGAGCTTGACCAGATCATATTTGTTGGAAGTCTAATTATTATCCTTCCTTTTATTAAAATAGCTTCTTAAGTCAAACATATTAATTTCTTCAAAGTCACAGAGTGAAAGGTCCTGCAGAGCAGGAAGGACCCTGTAAGGTATATGGATGGGGGTTGAGAGCGAGAGAGAGTGTGTGAAAGGCAGATTGGTAGGAACGAGGGAGGACACGCCAGTCCTCTTTCAGAGAGGAAAAGGAGGTCAATGCTCCCCAGCAGGGGCGGGGCTAGCAACCCTTTCAGCCAATCACAGCCTCCCACAGTGACATCATCTCCAAATGAGGTAAACGATCCACTATTTAATCAGTAAGAGAGACCTACAAGACACACACACACAAAAAAAAAAAAGACAGAGAGGAGGAGGAAAACCCCTCTCGAGGACTGGCTAGACGGTAAAGTTAAAGAGTGCCTACAGCGCCCTACAAGAGGAAATGTGATATATATATTACATCATATGTGGCTGAATAAATATGCTGGATGTTCTAAAAGAAACAATTTTAAGTGGAATTAAAAGTGAACTCCTTTGCATTCATACTGTTCCTATCCTATAAAAGTGGGCGAAGATCTCAATACAGTCTCAGGCTCAGTCGAGCATATTGTATTGATTATAATATTCACAATAATATTAGGCACATGTGCGATAAAGTGAACCTGGCATTATAAACAAGTCACACCACAGAATTAAAAAGTTTAAATCTGAATCGACTGAATGAATTTTAGCAACGTCAAAACTGCTATTGAACTGAACTGAATCAACATTGAATTGACTTGAGCTGAAAAACGACACTATTGCTGTCTGTAGAGCTCCTTATAACTGAACTGAACTTGTTTCATGATTGATGAACTTTACACAAACACTGAACTGAATCAACAGCGAACTGATTTAAGCTGAATAATGACTCTACTGTTGGATTTTGAATTTGTCTCATTATTTGAAAAAGTTTGCATCATAGATTCTGTTATTTTCCTGTTTATTAATGTGAAGCTGCTGTATGTGTTGTATAAAGTGCTCTAGAAATAAATGTGACTTGACTTAAAGTTGCTATGAAACGAAAGCAGCGTCAGATCTTATCTCCCATATTGTGATGCATTTCGAAGATTAATAGATTATCAAAAAAGAAATAAATGTAGGGTGGGGAGTGGGATTTGGTTCTATGAATTGATCCCCCTCGTTATAAACAAAGCATTTACAGTATTTAATCAAGCTCCAAAAACGACTCTCTTGAATATTGTGGGAATGTGATGTCACACAGGTAAATAGATTTGCATATGCCCGCCTCCAGAGTCAGATATTGACGAATAGTTATACATCCTCACACCACAGACACCTCACACTGGCATTCAGTCGCTTAACCCCTGACAACGGCTGTCACGTCAAAAGCAAATAAAGCCATTATAATCACTGACGCTGTCTACACTGATACAGTATACA